CCCCTACCCTGAGTGTAGTGTCCCCGGGAGAATCGTCCGACCAATAGGTCTCAGACAAGGCCTCCTCTCTAAGCTCCCTCACCTGGAGCAGCATGTCCTCGATTACTGGGAGGTGTGCCAGATGGGGCCGGAGGCGGATCATCGCCTCCATGCGAGCACATATCCGTATGCGCTCTGCAGAATCCTGAAGATCATAAAACTGGTGGCAGAAACTGTTTAAGTCCATCCACAACACCATCACCTCATCTCTCTCGCTGGCTGAGTTCATTTTGGCCAGATTGTACTGTCAGAAACGGTGCGCGATGCGGCCGAAAAGTGTTAGGTGAACTCATTAAATGGCCAGACGAGGAAGTAATGAACAAAACCCGTCTCTTTAATAAGAGAACTAACGTAAACAAAAACCATACAAGACAAGGTGAAACACAAAACTCACCGTCAGTATCAGTCCCAGGTCAGAGCCAGCAAACACATACATCCAGGGGAATCCAAAACGCGTTGTCCAAAGATAAGTCCGTTAAGCTAATACACTGAAGCAGTCCGAAATAAGAGGGCAAGGCAGAACTGAATAATCCAAGGAAGCAGTCCGGGTCAGAAACACAAAAATACCAATACCGAAGAGAATGCTAGAAAGTCAGAGCTGGGGTCTAAAACAATCTGGCAGCGTTCTGGTGGGAGGACGCTGCCTAAATAGAGGTGCAAACAATAACGAAACAGGTGAAACCAATGTGAGTGATGAAGAACGTAAAAAGACCAAAACTAAGGTGAAACAAAAACAGGAAGTAATGTCAAAATAAAAGCCGGACAGGAAGCAGCGGAACCGAATCATGACAACAGTATATGTTCTGGTCAGTGAATCCAATTTGCAATTTCCTGTAATGTTCAGAATAAAAGTAAAGTATACACCAATATTATGGAAAAATTGTGGAAAAAGCTCAACACAAATTAGTCACTAATTTAGTGACACATTTGAAATATAAAGGACAAATGAGGATAGCAGATGTTTTTCACACCTGCTCCACTAACTATGCAAAAATAGCTCATTCTTTAGTTTTCAAAGCAGTTAAATCAACATTTACATCACTCGCATGCAAAACTCAATTGCCAACAAAACAAACTACAGTGCCTTTGACTTGGAAATTAATTGTCATCATATTAGACTCTAATTTCTATGTCACACCAGGTTATTTGTCCACCACCATCCATGAAAACCATTAAACACATTTGAAATTTATTACTAAGATAGAACCATTGTGTTTAAATCTTTAATTGGGTTCTAACTTCTCAAAATATGTCAAAAACAGTAGCGGCCATCTTAAACTTAGTGCACAGATAATCAGGATATTGGCTCTACAGCCTCTACAGTTTATTGACTGGTGTGACGTCTCACAAATCTGGACCCAAATTGTTTTTATTGTTTGTTTGTTTGTTTGTTGCACACTTCAGCCACACTTACATAGAATCTGCTGCAAAGTGTCTTCATAGTAACTGCGTGTCTCTGACTCACTCCAAGACAAACACACACACACACACACACACACACACACACACACACACACACCCTGATACAACATAAGACTCCAAAATTAAGACACACACCCACACACAACCTGGCAATACTCGTCCATGATGCACTTCAATCAAAGCAGGTGTTTTGAGTGGACACACTTGAATGCACCAAACTTCCTTCTTTCTTTGTCCTGCAAGATGTCACTTAAACGCATCACAAGATGAAGCAAATGTCCCAAGGATAAACACACACAAACGCAAAGATGAATCGTAACTGCGCAGATTCAACATTGTAAAACAGAAATGCGCCATGCACGCGCCGCGCCACGCGCCATCAGTGTGTGTATACGGTGTGTTATGGCAGCCGTTCAGCTGAGGTAGCTCAACATAAAGAGTGACACACTGCAGGCGGACAGAGGCGCGTGTTCCCACGCCTTGTGCGTTACGGTGGTCCACGATATTGTATACATTTAGCAGTATACTATATGTATGCTACTAATTGTATTGTTGCAGCAAGCAGGCTGTGCAACATCCTACCTTTCTGGTGCCAGCAGTTCCAGAGCTCCCCGCAGACCGCCCCGCGCACACAACCGCTGGAAGTTGTGTTTCTCACTGCGTTACTGTGCAATCTATTGGATCATACCCGCTTTATCTCTCGGTTTGGGATTGTTTTCTTTAAATTCTTTAGTTTCTTCCTCTTGTCATCACCAAGTAGTGCTCGGTGACAGAATCCAAAAGCCTCCGTCTGGTGCTCACGTCCAGGTTTTGTTCGGGATTACGAAGGGAGAGAAGAACCGCTTCACCTCCGGTCAGCATCAGCCGGTAGGCAGGCAGATGGAAAGAGAGAGAGAAAGGAGGGGTCTGCTAGGATAAAGATGCCGCTTGGCGTTGTGCTTTCCATTCTTTTCTTCTCTCTCTCGCAGATCGATGAGGGCTTGCTCAATACTCCCTCTCCATCTCTCCCATCTTTTATGCCTATTTGGCTGTGGCAGGAGAGCTGCTCTCTGTGTGTGTGTGTGTGCGTGTGTGTGTGTGTGTGTGTGTACTTGTATGACCAGCAGTGTGAGGACCGCTTTGAATTTTAAACCAGGGGAGTGAGGATATTTTTGGAAAGTGAGGACATTTTGGCTGATCTTCACTTTCTCAGACCCCTTCAAATAGCTGTTTGAGAGAACACTTGGTTTTCAGGTTAAGGTTAGAATTAGCTTTAGGTTAGGTGAAGGGTTGTGGTTAGGCATTTAGCTGTGATTGTTAAGTGGGTTAGGGAATGCATTATGTCAATGAATGTCCTCACAAAGATAGCTAGACATACATGTGTGCTGTCCTGACCATCTTGTGTATGTAATGTGTATATACAATAGACTGCAGTGTTTATACTATGTCATCTGTGTCTTGAGGGATGATAAAGCAGAACCTGCAGTTAAACATCTAAAGAGGAATGCACAAACACACGAGTGAAGTAATACAGCCTATTAGTGTATTTACATCACCATTCACAATAACCAGGTATGATCATCTCCTACTCATCCATCCATCCATTATCTATGCCACTTCTCCTTAGGAGGGTGGCAGGGTGGTCTCTCAGTGTCTGTCTCCCAGCAGACACTGAGAGAGGCGGGGTCCACCCTGGACAGGTCGCAAGTCTATCACAGGGCTGATACATAGTCAAACAACCACACACACACTCACTCCTATAGGCAATTTAGAGTCACCAGTCAACCTAAGCTGCATGTCTTTGAACAGCAAGGAGGAAGTCGGAGTACCTGGAGAGAACCCACACAGGCACAGGGAGAACATGCAAACTCCACATAGAAAGGCACCAGGTCCGCTGGGGTTCAAACCCAGAACCTTCTTGCTGTGAGATGACAACACTAACGTTAAGTTATTAAATTATCATAACCTTTCTGCTGAGTAATCAAATGTAAAGTATAAGAATGATGACGTTTCTAGCCAGGTTGCATGACATTATCTTGCTACAGTATTTTTTATTTCCAAACTATTGGCCATGCAAATTCATGAGTTAGCATTAAACTAAAGGGAACTCTGACCTGCAAGTCTGCTAGAAACAGCCAGGAGGTCACACAGAAATACTGTGCACACGTAGGTACTTTGTCATGCAGGAATCATTTGAAGTGAATGAGAGACCAAAAGATGTTTGCAGAAGTATAATGTGACTATACTTTAATACACTAAACTGGAGATTTCAGGAAATTAACAAACGCCCCCAAACAAAACAAAACCAGTAATCACCTGTCCAGCAGAAATATGGCCACCATGGTGTCACTTTTCAGCCACTTTGTTCTCTCATTTGTCGCCGGCAGCATCCAACTTCTTTTTAGTTGCATCTTTCTTGAATACAGTGTTACCCGCCCAGATCTGTGGAGCCGAACCATAGTTGTGGACCTTTGGTTCATGGTTAAACCATTTAGCCCTGACTCATAGCCAGTAACTAGCCTTAGGGAGGAGTGAATGGGGAGGCCAGCTAAGTCTGCTCAAAACACAGGCTTTATTCCATCTTGGTAACACGAACACTGCATGTAGCCTTTGATACCCAATTGACTGCATTACGTTCCTATCTATACACTTAGAGCTGATTACTGTCTGGCTGAATGTAAAAGGAGACTGTTCGTGTGTGGTCTTCTCGCTCTCATACTGTGCACATAGTTTACAACTTCTGGCAACAACAACAACGTTACCTATAAGGCTATATGTCATAAAGGGGAAGGTCTGGCCTGTAAAGATGGTCTCCGTTTGCGACTGAAAACTGCTATGGGTGCCTTCTTTGCCATAGCTCCCTAATTTTAGTTGTAAAACAGAGCAGTAACACAGCCTGACTGGCCTTGTGGAAGATTTTTGGCTCATGCAAGGATGGGGTATGCACAAGTATGAAGTAGGTTGACAGGCAGGTAGGCCATCTAATAGTTTTGCTTGGAATGAGTAAAATTATTAATCAGCCTTTTTTCAGCCTTGCTGCTGAAACAGATTTTTTTTTCTTTATGGTGTCAATGTATTTAATGTATTCATTGCCATCGGAATGAAATGAGAATTTCAAGATAGGTAACAAAAATGCTTTGTCAACCCTGCCTTTAATGTACTTCCCTCATGTGGTGGTGTGATGATGGTGGTGGAGACACTGACACATCGCTCCAACATCTACCGTAGGTGTTCAACTCGGTTGAGATCTGGTGACTGTGAAAGCCACAGGACATGCATGATTCACATCCCTGTCATCCTCATCAAACTATTCAGTGACCTCTCATGACCTATGGATGCAGGCACTGTCATCCTGGATGAGACCACTCATTTGTTTCTGTTGTTCCTGTAATTCACCAAAACTCAGACCCTCAGGACTGGAACCTACACTCATTGATCAAGAATTTGATGCCTCCAGTCATCCATGTTTTCTGATTTTTTTTTTTTTTTTTTAGCTCTAAATAGAAGCAGAATCCATTTGATTACTTCACACAGTTATTTGTCACAATAAGTTAACATCACATTGTCTGGATTAATTCAGCACCAAAGAAGAAGATGAACCCTACAATGTACAAACACTGATAAAAATGAACTTCTACTTCAGTAAGGAATACTATATGTTGCTTCTGTGACTCGAGTTGACATGATCAGCCAAACTGCGGGTGATGAACATATGTTGGCAACTGGAATGTATAAACACAGAATGTGCAGCAAGAATGTGTGTAGCTCATGCTTACTTCAGACCAACTTCAAACCATGTGTTGGCTACACATGGTTTGAGTATCTGTGATACAATGAAGTGGAAATGAAAAACAAGGCAAAAAAGACAATTTTAAACACCTTGCATTATTTTTAGCTGTTTGCATATATTTCAAATCATGAAGTGCATTTTTGCATTTATGTTGGCCTGATGAAATTTGTTCTTATTTCTTTTGCCTTTGTCATTTTCTTATTTTTCATTTTAAATTTAATTGATTCCATAAACTTCTTAAATCACTGTTACTAATTAATTTTCTTTTCATCATGATTGACATCACTAGACTAAAAGTTTTTATAGGTGTGTGAATACATTCTAATGATCTATAAAAAGCTGTAGCTTTGCATAAGGATGACTGTTGTGGCATTACAGGAGAAGTTCCAGAGCAGGAGAACTGCATTAGCAGCTTGGAGAAAGCCAAGATGGAAGATTTTAAAGGGCAATCTCACTGTAAGAAAGTCACTTTTGGCTTTTCCCATTTTTAGGGGTTGCCACAGCGAATCGTCACACTGATGACTTGCATGTTGACATGTGTTTTACGCTGGATGCCCTTCCTGAAGCAACCCTGATTCGAACCCGGGCCACAGCGGCGAGAGCGCTGCACCTTAACCACTAGCATACCAGGGATGGCCCTAAAGGATGATCTCACTGTAATAATATTAAAATATGCTGATTGCTGAGGTTTGGCAGACTGGCAGCACCTGGACCTGCTGTCTGATGGCTTACAAGTGCCAATACCTGGTGTTTCGGCGCTCTCTGCCTTACAGCCTGCACCTGCCACCATTTAGTTTGATTTGTTATGTTAGACTTTGTTTGCATTTTTCCACATCACAACGTGATATTACAAGCAACCACACTTACAATGCTGATTTAACCGACTAACACCCATCATGTTTTGTGTCATTAAATGTTTTGGTTAATAAATGGCTTGCTTTGTAGACAATTTGGTGTCTGCCTCTCATTTTTGTCATGACTTAAAAGCCACGATGGGGGCTCGTCTGGGATTGTTCTTGTTTGGGCATGTGCTGTTCCTTTGTTTGTTTGTTATTGTTTTGTTTTTTTGGTTGTGGGAAATAAGGCATTCGCTGTTTTTGTATTTGGTTGTGTATTTTTTTTTTGGTTTGAGGTGGATGGTTTGCTCTTAATGCTGTGTAATTGTTTGTTTGGTGTCAGCTTTGCTGCGTAACAGATGAGGATTGTGGTGTGCACTGCACTTGTGGTTGGACCAGAGTTTTCTCTGGTAGGTTGTAGGAGCATTCCCCTTTGGGCCCATTGGGGGTGGGGACAGTGTTGTGGCAAAGGTAGTTAAAGACTATGTCTTGGGAGCATTTCCCTGATTTCTGGAGGGTTGCCAGTTACTGGTTGCCTTTTGATGCTGGTGGAATTAGTGCATAAATATCTGCCACAAGAAGCCACATGAAGACTAGGGGGAACTTAGGTCGAAGGTTGTGTTAGTTAGTGAGGAAGGTCTGATCTGTTGTTTTGTGCATGCAGGTGGAGCTTGCACTGTTTTATTGGTTGCTTAAAGTGCCTGTGGCATACACATTGGCAGGCGACAGTAGTGCGGTGGTAGAGCAGTTGTCTCCCAGCCAGAAGGTTAAAGGTTTGAATCTTGGTTCCGGCAGTCCATGTGTCAAAAACACTAAACCCCGCCGTTACCCCCGAAGGTTAGTCATCAGTTGAGGTGGCACCACAGATGGCTGCCATCAGTTCATATCGGAAACAAATTCTTTGTGTATAACATACTTGGCCAATAAAGATGATTATCCTTATCATTTTGCTAATTTCGAGCCAATTAATGTTTAATCTTGGGTACCTTTAGCTTAGCACTCCTCATAAATCCAAATAGTCTATAATTATTTCTCCTTCTGGCCCTGTGATGGACTGGCGGCCTGTCCAGGGTGTGCCCTGCCTTCGTCCAATTGCGGGCTGGGATTGGCTTCAGCCCCCCCGCGACCCCGTTTGGGACTGAGCGGTATAGAAGATGAATGAATGAATCAATTTCTTTTTCTTCTTTCGGCTGTTCTCGTTAGGGGTTGCCACAGTGAATCATCTGTTTCCACCTAACTCTATCCTCGGCATCCTCTACTTTTGTCATGTGATAAAATGACCAGAAAGCACTGACCTACTCAATACAAAACAACTGGTGTATGCACCTTGGTTGAAGGATATTTTCATGGCTCGAGAAATGCAAAAGAACCAACTTGAATACTTGAATTTGATACTTACAATTTGGATATGGAGTTATTCTATGTATAATTTTTTTTTTCAATGTA